TGAATGATGCATATGAAAACCATACAACTGATAACAGATCTTGGACAGCAGCATTCTAACAATATTGTTTGAAATATTTCCAATAAAAGCATAAACATTTGTAGGATGAAGTTCAGCTCGTGTATTAGCATTGGAAACAAAAGACCTAATCCAAAAGAAGAATAGGCCCAAGGGAGTCCATGGAAATCGACATGCCAACAGTTCTACCCTTAGCCTGTAGAGATCTATACAGTCCTCAGTTTCCAGCTGTATTTACATACAGCAGGTTTGCATTACTATTCTAAAAGTTTATCTCGGCATTTAAACTAGCATGTAATGTTACAGTGACACATAATTCCAGTCACCTGATCATGTAGCTGAAATCATACCCTTAGTATCACTACAGCTAAGTAAAAGACACCGTTACAAGAAAAAACATCCTAAAGTCATCAAGTACAGTCTTGGATGAAGGAATTTTTCTCTTTGTCAAAGACTATACCAGCTTTCAGAAAACCTCACATGCTATCAAGTTGTCTTAGCATATCTCCTTAGAGGTCCCAATGTGAAAACGACACTATCAACTATGTTATGTCTTATGAGCTACTGCCCTCAAACCACTTGAGTGACAATCTAACCAGAAGCACAGGACGGGGTGGATAGGGGAAAGAAGGGTTAAAATTCAGGATTAAAGCTTTCCGCTTCTGTTTTTCCACTTGTACTTCCTCAAAGCAAAATAGAAGCCTAACTATCACCCCACCATTCCCCATCTTCACCCAAAAGTAGCCAGGACAAAAACTTAATGGACCTTAAGCATGCACTTAAAGTTTGTAGGATAGAGGGACCTGCAGAAATGCTGCATTGAATAAATAAAGCAGGCTTTGCTTTCCTGCTTTTCTTGAACTGAGGCCTGTACCTTACACTCAGACTTAGCAGGCCTCCTTTTTAAAACATGTTATGTCACCCAAGTAGGTGTCAGGCATTGCATACTCTTAAATTTAAAGAGACTGACTGGATGATATAAGTACTATTGATGCCAAAGGCTTCTGAGGAAACAGCGTGGGAGTTTCTGGCTGGGATCAAGCTCTGGACTCACTTCAGTTCACCTTGCAAGGTCTGTTATTTCCAGAGAAAGCAAAACACAGAACTTGCAATATGTTAATGAGAAACAACCTGTTGGACAGATCAGAGAGACAGTACCTGCAGAAGACTGTCTGTACCTCCCAGGCAAAAATAGGACTAAGCAGTCTGAAAGAGTTTACAGAGGCATACAGGCTTTAAAAAATAAGACAACCGACAGTAAACCAAAAACCTATCCACGTTACATAGTTTGCAGTATATTAAAAAGTCTTTAAGAACAGAAGAGATAAAGCAGCTCCTTCTCAAGCAGGTGGTAATGTCAGCTCCCGGAGGAAAAGGTTAACACATACCAAACCATACTGGACCTACCACGGCAATACAGCAGGGAGGCAGAGATACTGCAAGCCAAAGTTCCAGTTTATAAGCAGTATTACTGGGACAGTTGAAAGACTCAAACACAGCTAGAATTCTAATTTGAAAGGAACAGTCACAAGGGACAAGAGTTTAAAATGCAGTTTGACCCAAGACACGAGTCATCTCTTTTCTCTAGAACTGAAACAAGATGGTTGTAGATGAAGATTACCTTATGAAAGTCACGCTTGCTTCACATCTAAATAGCTATCAGCTTAAATACTTCATTTAAAATCAGAAACATTTTTAAATTCACAATTAGCAGGGATAGCATCTGGTCTACAAGAGTCAACCAGCTCTGACGTCTGTGAGACATAAATTCAACTTTAAGGATGGACACTGAAAATGCATTTTTCAAGAAAACTTTGAGTTTTGGCTTGAGAAAGAGTAAAAATAATTGCTTAACATAAAAAAAACCCCAAACAACAAACCTCAACTTGATAAGCAAAGCTATGGCACAAAAAAAAAACAACTCCAAAAGACACACTTGTGCATGTAAATTTGTGACTTGCTAATATGCAAACAGCTCCTGGCAAAATGTACTGTTGAGGACTACACTGGTCATTTTCAATGTAACTGAACGACTGCACACATAAGCCATACTTCCACAGGGCTTTAATATTTTTTCCTAAATCTAAAAAGAAAATATCAGTCCTGACATGAGCAAATGACAGAACACCAACCAGCCGGCACGGCCACAGGAAAGAGCCCAGGTAGAAGGAAGCCCTCTGCAGAGTTAAAACATAGGGGTAACTCAGAATATGCGGTTCTCTCTGTGGTTTATGTAGATGCCAAGATGCAACTCCACCTTGCAGTGCATCTGAGTTCTGAGGAGTTCCTCATGGTGTGTCATTAAAAAAAGTGAGAAATGCACTAGAGCTCTTAATGCTACGGAAGGTTTGCTTTTATATACATATTCCACATCTAAATAATAATAATAAAAAAAAAAAACATTCTGGAAAGCACTGTGGTTGATATAGATACTTCTCTACAAGTGAACCTGCTTTAAAACAATAATATCTATCTCCATAGCACATTTGATGCGTCTGCATATAAAAACCCAAACATGAATTCTATTTGACTTACAAAATGTCAATAAACTGGCTGAAAACACAGCCTCCTGACACAACCACTTCTATTGATTTTGAGCGGCAAGCAGGAAAAGGGCAAACAAAAGTTAGCTTAAATGCAAATATTTCCAATATGTTTCTTATTACCAGTTATCACTTCAGTTGCACAACTATATCGGATATGACTGATAATTTACTGTGAGGAAGGAAAAAGGTAGGACTCGACAGGAATTCCATTGAGGTAGAAAAAGATTTCTTGCAACAACTTTGTTCCTGTTTTAAAGCCAGTGTTCGGAGTTCAGGACTTTGGCTTCTATTCATCAGAACACTTAAGAATTTGTTTTATTCCAGTGGTTTCTGTAAGAGTTAAATATGTTTTTAGATATTCTACTGGAGTACAATTATTCGTATTACAATACAGATATTACTCAAGGGAACAATTGCGTCTTGTGGGTCTCCTGGGTAAAGCACATGCACACAGAGGGGAAAAAAAAATCAATTTCAATAGACTAAAAATAGACGGCTTTTCTGAGAGAGATGCAAACCTTTTCCTCACATTTGAGCTTCTGTTTAGGTTTATAGTTCATCGATATTAATAAGGCTATTCATATAGAGTAACATTTCATTGCTGTAGTCCGGTCTTACATGTATATTTTAGCGAAAACCTTTCCCATGGCATCTTCCAGTCTCCATTCTATATGCCAGTTCCTAGGCTTCTCCATTGACAAAATACTAGAATTTCCTTGGCTTTGCAGGCAGAAAAGAAGTAAGTACAATGGATTAACACCACTCATAGTTTAAAAAACCAAAGCACCAGCCATGCTGCAAGTGAACTACCACATGTTTTCATTTCCTTTGCAATTTCCCAAAAGTCTTGACACCCCATTACAGAATTCAACAGAGTAGGTCTTCCCCTTAAAACTACGTCAGCACAAATAGGGAAAATAACCAGAAATGCAGGTTCAGTTGGAGCACAACAGTAGTTACTCTCCCACCGTATATCCAGCTCCGAGTTTGAAAGACAAAAGGGGAGAAGAAAGTAAACTAAGATTTTATAGTCTAAATGAACTAGGTCCTTGTGAAACTGTTCACATCAGTCAGGACTATACGCCTCACTACAGTGGCAGGTACCCAAAGTCACACAGTATTTGCGTGGATTTCCCTAGTGCAAGCACAAGCCTGAAATAATAGAAGAATTCAGAGATACTTCATGCTAGTCTGGAGTATTCCTGCTGATGGTTGGAGGTTTTTGAACTGCGCAGTCCCAGTTTACACGTAATTGGGGCATTTCACAGAGCTAGAGAAGGAAGCAAATCATAGAATCATAGAAAGGTCAGGGCAAAGGACCTAAGACCATCTAGTTAAGAAACTCCATAAACGTTCTCTGATATCTGTCTGTGAAGAGAACAAGTGCACAACTATTGCACGGGTTTAGCCCACACAAAAAGTTAAGTTCTAAAGAAATCTTTTTGGTGCTGTACATTTATTTACAGGCCCGTGATGGATTGTTTTCACATAATTCCGCTTACCAAAGAAACATGATTCTTTTCCAGAAACTCCTTAAACATCTCTATTATTTCCAAAAAATTGATTCAAAGCTTTTATAGACATGGCTAAGTGTGCTTCAAATGCGAAAATAACAGTCCAACCCGCACCGGGGGTTTCCGAAAGTGCAAACCTGATACAGTAATTATCAAACGAAGGGAAACGTTTTATGATAAGATGCGATAAACCCTTACGCAACCCTCCGGCGTTGCCCTGGGCAGCAATCTGCCCTAATTTGCCACTGATTTTCCCTCGGAACGGCTGAGTGAAGCCCTCCTCTTCCTCAGCCGGCCCGACCCCTGCCCTCCCCGGCCCCGCTCCAGGGGCTTCCCTCCATTGTTCCTGCGGCCAGGACCCATGCTCGCGGTGTGTACCGCGGGCAGTGCGGGCGGTCCCGCCGGGAAGGGGAACCCCCATAACAGCCCGGCGCTGGGGCCAGCAGGGCCGCGGCCGCTCCCGGGGCAGCAGCGGGCAGAGCTCCGTCAGCCGTGCCCCGCACTGCGCCCCGGTCCTGCCCGCTCGGACACACCATGACTGTGCAGGATTCCCGGCGTCGGGGCAGTCGTGGCTCCCTCACAGGTGCCCCGCCGGGCGGGGGGCGGCCGCGAGGGCAGCGGCGGGAGGGGCGGCAGAGGCCGCCCTCCGGTGGTGGCGGGCCCGGTTGCCCGGGTTACCGCGAGGCACGGCCCGGCCCGCGGGCGAGCCCCGGCCCCGCACAGCCCGGCGGGCACGCCCCCGGCCCGGCACGCTGCAGGCCGGCCCCGCTGAGCCCGGCGGGAGCCCCCTTCCCCTCCCGCTCTGCTCCACGCACACGGCCCCCGGCGCTCGGCACGGCCGCCTCCCCGGCATTGTCCCTCCCTGCCGCCGGCCGGCAGCACCTGCCGGCTCCCGGCCCCTCTCCCGCTGCCCCGCACCTACCAGACGGAGCCGTAGGCACCAGAGCCCACTGGGGTGAGGTTCTGGTAGCGCTGGGGTACCTCCCACACAGTCTTGTTCAGCTCCTGCCTGTAGAAGCTGCCGCGCTCGCACATTTTGCCAGAGCCGCCAGCGGCAGCAGCAGCGGCGGCAGCCGCCCCTGAGCCGGGGCGGGGAGCGAAGCGGGCACGGCCGGCGCCGGCGGGGAGGAGGGACCGGGAGGGGAGGGGAAGGGGTGGAGAAGGGAAGGCGGGAGGCCGAGGGGGTGGGGGGGGCGTCCGGCTCACAGGGCGCGGAGCCCCGAAGCGGCCCCCGGTGTCCTCCAAGGGGGGTGCCGGGTGGGGCGGAGCGCCAGTCCCGCCCCACAGCGGCCGGCATCGCTGCGGGAGCGGAGGCTGGCACCGCCCCGGAGGAGCGTGTGGGCAGGGCCGGACACCTGCCCCTTGGCCCGGCATCCCCCAGGACTTCAAAGCCTTGACCACACCTTTCCTGTTTGGTTTCGTCCGCCTGAAGCTTCCCTCGCTCGGAGGGGCAGCGGCGGAGAGCGGTGTCCCGGCGGCGTGGCTGGGCCGGGACATCGCCCATGGACAGCGGAGCGAACAGCGGCCCTCACCTACTGACGGAGCTCTCGGGTTAAATAGGAGTCCCCCGGTACGAGAACTTCTCCTGAAAGCATTGACTCCTGCATGCAATCATCTGAACGCCTCTGCTTTTCATCAAGAAGGACTTCAGCCTTCAAAATAACAGAGGAAAAATCTTGAAAACTTTAAGTCTCCGAAACTTATGCATCATTAAAGTAAAAAGTTCTGTTTATTTTATGGCCTTTTCCTTTTCTCTAAAATGTGCCTTATACAATAGTTCAATGACTTGTGGAATCATTGCAACACTACTGCAATGCAATGTTACCAGTATATTTTCCTATATACTATTTGCTGTTTTCCTTCCATAACTTCTTATGCTTCCTTGAGCAACTCTAATTAACTTGTAGGTAGTCTGCTTATGTGGATTCGGTATGTGGCGATTGCTCCACACCTGCCTTTGAATCAGTGTGGAATGTAAATCACACATACTCTGTAAATCAGAACCCTCATGTAAGTCCTCTGTGTTTCTATACCATGAATTGCAGTTCACTTTGACAAATGGATGCTCAGCTGACAGTAGGACCTCACTGTGAGCATACAGAACTTGTATGCTTGAATAGCTGTGAGCATGATGAGCCAGAAGGCAAGTTTTATGGATGTTCTGAAGAGTGGATAGTTCAAGTTCCATCTCTGAAACCCCAGCCCATGTTGCACAACAGGACTGTCATACTAGGACTACCTGAGTGAACAGTATCAGCAGCTTTGGCATCTGCTCAGTGTATTTCAAATTGAAAAAGATGGATGATGCTACTACAGCCATTTATCTGCAGCCATCCACCCAAGGGGTACTAAGTACTCCTAAAGCCCTATCCTATTTCTCACTTGTACCCCACTTTAGTACAACAGAAATCTAGTCCTCTCCAGACTGCTCCTTGGTCACACTTGAACTTCTGTGAAGAGGGCGTAGTACTTGTAGGAAATGATAAGTGTGAAAAACCTAACAAGATGTTAATTTTTCTCAGCACCACCATTCTGAGTTTTAAAATCAGAGGAACACTGCAACCACTCTACAAGCCAAGAAGAAATATTTCTGCCCCTGCCCTCCACCCCTAGAGTAAGCAGGCCCAAATGTTTTCCAGTGCCAGAATGAAGCAAATACTGCCTCACTTTTATTCTACTTGGTCTCTGGAGGTGTTATGGGCTCGGGCCCTTACCCACTCACCAAGTGTTAGACCATTTCTTGCTAACTAATTAGCATGCTTTTGGGGAGTGGAGTCTATCCGTGTTTGCCCAGGCTTCTAATTGTGCAATTTCCACAGGAGCTAATTTTCTGTTTGTTGTTATTTACAGTCGTTCTCAATTTCCTGTCTTCTGTGAGCTTCTGTCAGTTATTTGTATTGCAATCATGACTCTGAGATTGTGCTTGATTACCTTGTTTTATTGGATACTACATATGTGATGTTCTACTCCATGTAATGAGGGAGATATTAGAAAACAGAGAGGCTAGAGGACAGTGTTTGGGAGTTGTCTCAGATCTAGGCAGGTTACAGGTCCCCAGAGGCCTCCTGTAAAGCAAGCCCTGACAGCTGCTCCTCCCACATCAGAAGCAGCTCATCCATCTTTGCTGGCACTGTGGAGGCACACGAGGAAGTGGAAGAAGCAGCTCCCTTGTCAGCCACGTTCTTGTCTTTTAGTTCCTGTTTTACAGGCTGGCCAAGTCTGTGTGTGTACAAGGGACAGGAGAGTGAGTGCCCTCTGAAGAGCTGTGAAGGCTTAAGGAAGAGAGAAGGTCACGGCTTCCTCTGTACATGCATTGCCTTCTTGGGAGCTTTCATTTCCTATATGTGAAATACTGCTATATTAAACCATGCCTGAGGCTGCGTCAGTGATGCCCATGGACAGGGGGAGGCCCTAAAACTGATGTGGACACTGCACACCCCTTCTCCTCCTGCCCTTATGGCTGTGTAACTGACAGTTCTTCACCATGCCAAGTGCTGATGGCCGGAGGGCCATAATCCCAATGGCAGGTCAGTAGGACTCACCACATTTCATATGTCATCACATGGCAGCATAAGAGGGAGGCTCACATGCTGCAGTGGTGTGGGTTAAGACACCAAGCAGCATGTGAGGTAGAATCCAGCTGTGTGAGCCTCTCGCCTGGTGAGCAGGGTGTCAGACATGAGCCCTGGCTGCAGGTGTGAGTAGGCCAGTCCCTGGAGCAGGGGATGCGTGATTCCCCTGATGCTCAGCAGCTCCAGTGGATACCAAAGGAAGAAAACTTGCTGGTGTAGAAGGGCACTGTTTTCTGTTGTGGCTGTTCCTGCACTGCATAGTCAAATCCTACATTATTCTTACTAGAACAAATCTCAGTGGAAACAAATAAATTTATTATTTTAGCCAGTTCTGAGTTACTAATTTCTAGCTATTTTTTATTTCCTTTTTTTTTTTTTTTTTTTGTTTGATACATTATGGAAAGCTTGCACATCTTTGCCAACCTCCTTCTGGCTCCTTTCGATTCTCATTCTCTCTCTAGCTCTTGATTCTCAGTTTAGGAATCACAATTCATAATACAGTTTAAAGATTGCAACTTTCATATTAGTAATAAACATGGAAACTCAAAGAAAGAAAATGCCACCTTGCTACTGAAAACATAACATTTCCTGTTTGGAAACATAATCATATTATTGTAAACCCAGCACTGGTTTAAAACAGGCTTTGGAAAACCCAGGACAGACTGCCAGCAGATTGGAGTTCAGACTGTTCTCAGTGTAACTGCTGTAAATGTAGGGTAGCTCTAATAAAGACTAAAATGAGAAGCTCAGATTAGATATAAGGAAGAAGTTCTCTACTGTGAGGGTGGTGAGGCACTGGAAAAGGTTGCCCAAAGAAGTGGTAAATACTCCATCCTTGGCAGTGTTCAAGGCCAGGCTGGACAGAGCCTTGGGTGAGATGGTTTAGTGTGAGGTGTCCCTGCCTGTGGCAGGGGGGTTGGAACTAGATTATCTTAAGGTCCTTTCCAACCCTAACTATTCTATGATTCTATGACATGGTTTAGTGTGAGGCATCCCTGCCCATGGCAGGGGGGTTGGAACTAGATGATCTTCAGGTCCTTTCCAACCCAAACCATTCTGAGATTCTGTGATTCTATGATTCTAAGTGTCAGTGAGGTTTTAGGATGAACCACTTTAATTCTGTCACTACATCTTTTACAATATAAACCTGAGCATGTCATAAAGATGCTTTCTGTGCTGCTTTCTTTTGAAAATATAAGAAATAATTAACATCTTTATAAAAGCAAAAATCATACTGTAATGTTATATCCATTACCATTAATAATAAAACATTGTGGTAATTAGCTATAGCATGGTTTTATTTGCAGGTTCTTGCAAATTTCTGAAACCATGTCTATGAATATGTAATTATAACATAGGAAAGCTGTCACTGTTTGTAATGACAGAAAAGACAAAGTACAGGCAGCAGGAAAGGCTTAATGAAGCCTTCTGTAAATAGCAAGTCAATCATTAGCTAGTTTCCAAGAGAGTGCTTTCCCAGAGACTGTATCTTTGTTACTGAATTACAAGACACTGCATATGCCTGCAAGGTGGTATCGCTCTTCTTTCTTCTATCAACACTCTTTGCTTCTGAATTCCTATTTCAAGCCTTACAGCAATCAACCCAAGTTGATTCAGATGACCTACTACAGCCTGAGCCTGTTATGTCCTGTTATAGCTTGGGTATTTAAACTGGAGAAACTTTTTTGATATTGTGAGAAGATGAAGGGTCTTGCTTTGGAGAAAACTTAAACTTTAGCTACTCATTTTGACCCTCAAGTTTGATAATGAAAAATCCAAGGTATTTCATACCTATGATTAGGTATGAAATCCACCTTGAAATCCTGCTCTTGACTAAGGACTTTCAAAATTTGGCCTATTTCATAATAATTACATGGCAAGAATAGGTTTTTATTCTTTCTGAGAAGACAGATTCTAACATAGTTTAGGTTCAGAGCTGAGGCTTTGTTTCCTTCTCTGCCCAATTCTTTCTGTGTGGAATTGGGATGGTCACTAGGTGCCTGTGTGCCACCCTTCCACATTTAGGAACTGAGACTAGGATTGTTTCCCTATTTTAAGAATAAATATATAAGATTGATATTACCTCAGATAGTAATAGCACTCGTAGTAGCTATGATTATTGTTTGCAGACATTGATAATGTTTTTCAAATATTCTTTTCATACTGCTGTGGATGCAGGGTTGCAGAGTGGGAAATATTTTCTAATATCCTGTTAAATAAATGTAATTAAAAAAAAATAGAAATCCATCTCCTTTACCTGAAGTTACACTAAAATTTATCTTGGCCTTCTGTAGTCTACCAGTACAGGTTGGCAGTGTTTTCTTCATCCAGGAACAGCATATGGGTATTATTCTAAGCTCATGTTGATATTAGATTTTCAATGAGATTTGGACTGCAAACATGCTAGCAACTGGTGTCAGAAGTCTCCAAAGTAAATTTAATAAAATACAATATCCTGCTCAGTCATGTCAATGAGGGCTCCTCATTGTATGTACTTTCAGAGCAAGGCCATCACCAGAAAAATAAATACAGATTTAACTTCAAAATTATTCCTAATTAAGTCAACAAAGGTCCA